ATTTTCTCTTCATTGGGCAAATTTATGATTTTTTTTTAAATTAAGAAAATAGTAACCTTAAAAAATTACAAGTATGGGGCTGGGAAGGTAGCTCAGTGGTAGAGCGCTTACCTTGCATGCTCGAGGCCCTGGGTTCGATTCCTCAGCACCACATAAGCAAAAAAAAGAAAAAAGCCGGAAGTGGTGCTGTGGCTCAAGTGGTAGAGCGCTAGCCTTGAGCTGAAGAGCTGAGGGACAGTGCCCAGGCCCAGAGTTCAGGCCCCATGACCGGACCAAAAAAAAAATTACAAGTATAAATCTAATGAGTGATGCTGCATCCTAGTGTACAGCGTATGGGTGACAGATAGCAAGCATGTGACGGACAAACTTTATCTGGCATCTGCTCAGATACAGCAGCACAGATACCAGGATGTGTCCGCATCCCTTGGTCACAAACGGAGGCACAAGAAGAAGGGGTGAAATGGGGGTTTCTGTGGGGGAGTGAGGGAGGGACAGGGACCAGAAAACAAAGGAGAAAACGATTTCACCTTTATGTAGGTCAAAGAATCTAATTGGAAACTTACAATCATCCTAAGATTAAGGATAGTGCTAAATGGACGGCAAAATAAATCCCTGCAGCTTTGCCTTTGGTTCTGTTGAGGTAGACTCAAGTAACTGGTTCTTGAAAGATCAGGTCTCTTTAGAGAGATCACCACGGGGGACTATGGACTAGCTCCTTGGGGGAAAATGTATCTACCCACTCCCTGACATGGCCATTTTCTGGGTGCTAGAATAAACAGCCATCTCCACTTACAGTTGAAAAAGGCTTCTGGCTGTGTGTTAATGTCAAACAATCTGACAAGCATTTAAACGGATGTAAAAGGAACATGAAGCAGAAAATATTTAATGACAGGCAACAGTTCCTTCCAATGCATAGAAAGACATTTTAAAATGATACTTATAAGTTAAAAAATGAAATGGAACCATTTAATTTTACCACCCTATAATGAATTCCACACACTACAGTAATTTCCTTGTAAAAATAAATACATGTTTTCCCAATTGCTGGCTCTGCTCTAGGCAGGTCTAGAAGGCATTTATACGCAGTCAGCCTCTGCCTGGCTGACTGATGAACAGAGCCATCTACTTTTAGGTGCAAATGAACTGTGGAACTTCTGGGTACCAATCCCTTGAAAGCTTTAGAATATAATTTCTGACTTCTCATAAGGGAGCTGGACTTCAAAGGAAAGATGACACTGCCAGACACGACTGTGAAAAATGGAAGTATCAACTGGGATACATCTGTCATGGAGGGGATCTGTACTCGGATGCTGCAGTTTACCACGGAGCTGCATCATGTCTCAGAGGTGTGCTGTGTGCTTGCTCTATCCCTTTATGACCATTTGAGCCCTTCATCCAGGCCATAAAGGGAGCAGGAAGACACAGACACTCCTTTGTAGGAGTCCAAGCTATCAGGAGGTGAATACACAAGGTACCAGTGGCTCAGAAGACTAGAGTGCAGATAGCAACATAGACAGTAAAGGAGATAAATGTGGGAAGGAGGATTCTTATTGGAAACTGGACTAGAGACAATATGTGTTATGTCCTAGTGAAGAACTGGTTTATGTTTTGTCTGGGCTCTAAGACTTTGAGGCTCAGTTTAAAGGTGATGGACTAACTGACAGAAGAAACTTCATTATGTTTATTGCCTGGGCATGGCTAGCTTTTCTAGTCAAGTAAATAGTGAAATGCAGAGGGAAAGATTTAAAAATCTCCCAATTTGGTTGGAAAGGAAAGCATGTAAAATCATTAATATATACATGGTTTCCAAAGAGATTAGCATCAGTGAAAAATAGCCAAGTACTTTACAGGAGGGCAACTCAGGAATGTCACAGTGTAAACTCAACAGAAAGACTTCTACTGCTGCCCAGCGCACATAGAGCCCTTCAGCAAGTCAGTTCCCAGGATTCATTTCACCAGGCACAGGAGCTTAGAGATTGCTGCAATCCAAGTGGCTTAGGCTACTTCTCAAGCTGGTGCTAGACATTGGTTTCATCTACATGATGGGTGTTTGAGAGATACAAAAATTCTAAGGTTACAGGGGCAAAAGGGATTCCACCTAAATTTCAAAGAAAAGCCCAAGAGGCCAGGTAGTGCTTAGCAGGGACAGATTCCCTGAGGGGGCAGCCCGAGGGGTGATGTGTAATATAAAGTTGTGAGAGTGAAGGCAAACATGCAATGGAGACCCCAGGAAATTAGAGGTGCCAGGAATGTGGACTGTCAGCTGAGGACAATTGTGGGCCACGAGCAGAGCTAACTCAAGAGATAAGCCATGTGGGCTATAAATGGCCAAGTCATGCTCAAGCTGTTCTGAGCTCATGTCATATGATCACATGCATGGACACTGGACATGGGCCTGTGAGATTTAACATTTACCCTGCTGGTTTCAATTTAATTTCTTTCTACTTTTCTCTGATTCCATTTTGGAATTGGAATGTGGACCCTATACCATTTTATGTTGGAAATATGTAAGTTGTTTGCTCATTTTTACAGGTGCTCACAGCTAAGTGTTTTCCTTGAGTCTCAGCGAAGACTCTGGGGATTGGACTTTTCTTGTTACTATTTTTTCTTGGAACTGGAGTTCAAAATTATGGCTTTACAGATTCTGGGTAAGCACTCTACCACTGACCCATAATCCTCAGCCTAGGCTTAAACTTTTGGGCAATACCAAGGCTGTTGAGATTTTGGGAAAGGAATCAGTGCGATTTTCAGGTACCTAAGGATAGTTACATCATGTCAGATGTTATTATGAACTTGTTGCTGTCATTGAGATCAAATACAGTATAAGATGATGCATCTGACTGTCACGTTGACAAGGGTGAATTTGTGATAGTGAATCTTGTCAACTTGACGCGATGAAGAGACATCTAGGAGATGAACAAAGCACACCACGGTGCGCCTGTAAAAGTATCCAGAAAGGATCTGGATAGGACTCCAACAGAAGGGTTAAGTCCATCCATGAATGTGTCTAGATGGAACGGAGTGGAAGAAGGAGAGAGCCCACTCCTGCAGACAGGCTCCTTCTTTGCTTCCTGTCTGCCATGAGGTGAACAACTCTAATTTCCCACCACGATGTTCTGACTCACCACAGCTCAGAAACAACTGACCGTGGACAGACACTACTGAAACGGTGCACCAGTGTAAATCTTTCCTCCTTTGAAACCCTTTCTCCCAATTATTTGTCACAATGATGGCACCCTAACACAGGGCTCAAAGTCGTCATAATTAGGGTAGCCGTGGAAACAGATGATCACTGTTCACTCCCTGGCAGATCCTGGGCATGCCACTGACTCTCACAGGTGACAGGCCTACAAGTGCCTTTCTTTTGCCTGTCTCTCTGGTGATGTTTTCTCTTGAGGACTCACCTGCACTTACTCCTGTGTCACTTCCTATCGAACACCTCCTCTGCACTCACTGTACAACTTCCGGTTGCATCCTCATCGCATCTATACGGCCGAGCTCAAGGGAAAGGACTTCACCTCATCCACCGCTATTTTTCCACCCTTCATCTCCCATCATCATGTACACGGAAGAGCTCAAGGGATACTTCTTCTCTAATGAACAGATTCAAAGCTCTCACTCACTGGTATTTGTTTTTGTTTTTTTGTCATCCTGGGGCTTGAATTCTGGGCCTGGGCGCTGTCCCTCAGCCCTTTGGCTCAAAGCTAGCACTCTATCACTCGAGCCACGGGCCACTTCTGATTTTCTGGTGGTTTATTGAAGATAAGAGTCTCATGGACTTTCCTGCCCAGGCTGGCTTTGAACTGTGATTCTCAGATCTCAGCCTCCTGAGTAGCTAGGATTACAGGCATGAGCCACTGGCACCTGGTGTCACTCACTGTCTTCTATGTGTCCTTCTTTCTCATTTTACCATGTTTTGGGAATATATGAAAGAAGGAATGAAAAGGGGAAGAGCGTCTTGTGATAGGAACCAATTTTGACCAGTTGAATCTGGATGAAAGCCATTTTGGTGAGATCTAACCTCCTTCACAGTGCTGGAAAGGTGTGTGTCTCTCTGTGCTGGGGCACAATGGCATTTGGATGGTATAAATGCCATGTAGTGTTCTGGTGTATCCATAATTCTAGGTCATTCTGGCTTCCTAGAGCTCTGCATTTCCACAGTATTGGGCTGGTTTGGGGTTGGTTCAAATTAGTTGTGAATGATTTATGCCAGGTATAAACTGGCCCTTGCCGGAGCCAACAGGCTTGCTCCGTTTAATTCATGATGAAACAGACTGAAAACAGCTACGACTAGTTTAAAACTGCGTTAGCTTTGCATTGGCTTGTTCCGCGTATGCAGGTTGGATTTGACCAAATTGTTCATTTTACTTGAAGCCAGCCAGTTCAAAAGCAGTGCGCCTGGTGCGACCCAACACTAATAGGAATGTTCAAGCCCCTCGCCTCTAGTTGTCCGTGGCAGTACATTGTTACACCTCACATCCAGGGCACAATACTCAGAATGATATCCTTCCTCATATCTATTTTTCAAACATGATGATCATATGGACTTTTTCTTAAGAACAACCTAATTCGTGTTCGTATTTAAAGACTCAACTAGACAATGGAAATCTTGTTTAGATCACGAGAAGGGTCACGGATGTGCCTCTGCCTGTGGTGTTATCTCAGTCCACTTTTTTTTTTCCTTTTCTCTTTTGGTCGGTCATGGGGCCTGAACTCTGGGCCTGGGCGCTGTCCCTCAGCTCTTCAGCTCAAGGCTAGCGCTTTATCACTTGAGCCAAAGCACCACTTCTGGCCTTTTCTGTTTCTGTGGTACTAAGGAATAGAACCCAGGGCCTCAGGCATGTGAGGCAAGCCCTCTACCACTGAGCCACCTTCCCAGCCCTCACTGCACTTTCTAAGCATGGGCTAGACACAGAGATGTGGGCTGACACTATGGACTGCTCAGGTGCCATCAGCTGCATAACCTCTGCCCCCACCCTGGACCACAGAGACCTCCTTACCTTAATCCTGCTCACTGCTTCCTGCGCCTGCATCATGCGCACGTTTTTGGAGGGAGTTTTGTCTGAAAGCAGCTGGGTAGAGCCAAGGTAATTGGCGGCAAAAATGATTCCATCGATCAAGTCTTCAGGGTCGCAAGGTCCAGGGACTGGAACAGCAAGAACCACAGTGGTGAGTGGAGACCACTATGCCCGCGATGGTGAACTGCCTTCCCCTCATGCACTGCTGGCCTGGTTACCTTGCTGACCTAAGGTATCGGTGTCTGCTGGCACTCACCCCTCCTGTTCAAATGGAAGGCACAGCACCTCAGAATCACTTATTTTACCCATGCTGTTTACTGTGAGTACTGATGCAAGCAGCTACTTAAATAGGAAACAAAGTCCAGTGATAAAGAATGCAGTTTCTCCCGTTAAGACTCCAATGTCTTTGGGGACAAAGACCATGTCCTATTCACCTCCTGACTTTTGTGACTTAGTGCCTTTCATCGTGACAATATCAGCTAGAGATGCTTCAGTGAATGGAAGATATCTTTTAGGAAAGCATCATTGGGGACTTCCTATTTTTTTTCTTTTTTTGGCCACCAATTCCTGTATTCCTTCTCTGTTTGGTTTATAATAGAGGAAAGAAATTTTTATTCATCAGAAAAGTGAGATATTTGTTTTATTAGAGTATATGGATTTTTATAATGGCTTCTGACTTCAATTCTGTAAGACAGGTCAAATTCCAAAGTCATAGCTCCAGGCAGCCGACTTTGCCGATTTACAGACCATAATGTTACTGGCCTCACACACAGATCAAGGAAAATGGGAAGTCTCTGTTCTCATTCAACAGCCTCATCTCATTTTTAAATATTTACAATGGAGGCATATGAGTCTGACCACAATCACTTATACACTGCACTCCAGATTCAAACATGTCTGAGACGGTTGTATAACTTTATAATAGTTAACTTAAGAAAGGTATTTTAATTTGTAGTCTGTACTTTCAGCTGGGCAACAGTGGCTCATGTCTGTGATCCTAGCTACTCTGGAGGCTGAGATCTGAGGATTGTGGTTAGAAGCCAGCCTAGGCAGGAAAGTCAGTGAGACTCATTTCCAATTAACTACCAGAAATGCTAGGAGCTGTGGCTCAAGTGGTAGAACACTAGCCTTGAGAAAAAAATATCCATCAGTTCAAACCCCAGAACCCACATGCGCGCACACACACACGCGCGCGCACGCGCGCACACACACACACACACACACACACACACGTACGCACGCACGCACGCACTCTCTTGGACTTGAGTACTAGATCTGGGGAAACTAAATACGCATTTTTACCCACTGTTGAAACCTTAGGGTCTTATATTCAGTAATTGGAAATGGAAATACTCGGCTTTCCCCTTTGCAGGACTAACTTGAAATGTTTATTATCTTTATTTTTACCATTTGGTTCATCTTGAGATTACATAGGAGACACAATTACACAGCTGCCTCCCACTATAAGCAAGTCACCAGGGCACAGACATTCATTTTTCTAAACTGAAGTTGGCAGTCGAAACACAGAACTTAGAGGTGTTTTAGAGCCAGGCACTGGTGGCTCATACCTACAATCTTAGCTATTCAGGAGGCTGAGATCTGGGGGAATGGAGGTTCAAAGTCAGTTTGGGCAGAAGTTCCATCCCCCATTAATGAGCCAAATGCTGGACTAGAGGCGTGGCTCAAGTGGTAAATCCCCAACTGTGGGCAAGGAACCTGTTATTTGTGTTATTTTGTTTTAACAAGGAAGACTTGGCAAACACTGCTGTGGTGTCCAGACTACCCTGCTCCAGCCACAGGCTAGTTTCAAGGTGGTTCCCGCCTTGAAACTGTTATGAGTGGAGGAAGGGATCAGGTTGTTTACAATGTACAATTTTGGTTGTACCACAGCAAAACACTGATCCATTAGACATATGGATGGGTTTTGGCTACACACACTCTATCCTCTGTAAAAGATTTCAGTGTCCTATAAAAAGTACCTACTGATGGATTTACAATGGTACTTGATAATTTTTTGTCAACTAAATAGCAAGAAAAAGATCCCCTCAGGGGTAAGTTTTTACAATGTTAAAAAGAAAACCAAAATTAACCCACATTTTCTATGGAATATCATATATTCATGTCTGACTGAACTGAAAAGGGTCACTTTTCAACCAAAAGAAAAAGTGTGCACACACAGGCATATGTAAAAACAGTTCCCCAAATATTTAAATAACTATATAAAGATGCAAACACTACACAGATCCTGGACACAGATAAGGGGCAGAGATATTTTAAGTTTGGGATTATGATCTTAGAAACCATTTATCGTTCAGGGAAATTGACTATGACTGAATGTCACTGTATCATGACAGGAAATAAAAAGAACTATTTTTATAATTTCTCTGTAGATTTGGTATTGATCGATTTCAAAATAGACTTTAGAGCTGGTTATAATGTTGCATGCCACTAATCCCAGGATCTTAGGAAGTTGAGACCGAAGGATCTCAACCCAAGCCAGCCCAGAGAACACACTAAAAAGCCATCTCAAAACAGAATTTCACAGAAGCGAGTTTTTCTAAGGTATGCTCATGGAATTTCAAACACACACACACACACACACACACACACACACACACACTCACTCTCAAAAGATGCAGATAATTTCCAGGGTAGTTGAAGCCTACAAAGAACACAGTTCCCGAGAGAATCCTGGAGTAAGCCCACCACTGATAGCCTGGTTTTGCAATGTCCTGGTGCTTTGATGTTCTCGTGTATAACGTGAGAATAAACACCAAACCCACTTTACAAGACTGATGTGAAAATCCAATTAGTTACTACATGCGAGGCGCTTAGAACTGTATATGGCAGAGAGTTAAGTGCTGACAAATGTTACTATTAATAGCTCATCCATGCAAGAGCTGAGAATTATTGGGAATGTCTTTCTAGACTTCTTCCTTCTAGTTTGTTTCAACTTGGACTGTCCTCAAAGCACGTAGGAGACACTGGAATAGACATAAGGAGACTTTCACCTCATGATCTCATTATAAGAGGCTTACAGCAATTGCATTTTTACTACCAATTTGTGGCCTGCCTGCCTGCCTGCCTCCCTTCCTTTCTTTCCTGCCTCCCTCTCCTTCCTTTCTTCCATGCATGTATGTATGTATGTATGTATGTATGTATGCTAGTATTGGGGCTTGAACTAAGGGCCTCATATTCTCAACTCAGCTTTGTTTTGCTCACAGCTGGCACCCTTCCACTTGGGCCATGTGTCCAGCCCATCATTTTGGTGGTTATTTGGAGATAAGAATCTCTAGGCCTTCCCTCCCCCCCCCACCCCCCAGGCTGGTTCCAAACCATTAACCCTCAGATCTAAGGCTCTTGAGTAGTCAGGATTATAGACATGAACCTCCAACACATGGCTCTACCTTTTTTTTTTAAAATCTGCTGTTTCTAATGCCTCAACTGATAAAAGATTAATGAATGACTCTGTGCCTGATATTTGCTTTTCAGATCTTACCTTCAACGTAGGTGGGGAATGAAGCCAAGCTTTTTCTTGACTGTAATTAAGACAAAGAGGTTTCAAAAAGGGCACGATGAAATATGCATTAACACAACTATGCATGAAACATGGAAAAGAAATACATCACCATTGGCATTTGTTAACCAGTGATTGACCATTTTTCATTAGAGAAAGTAAATTGTGGATAAACATGCATTTATTATTAAAGGTCACTTATAACCCAGAACAGTCCATTCACATTTTAACAAGCCCCTACATTTCAGAGAAAGGTATGTGTCAGCCTGACAATGTCCCACAGACCAAAATCTATAATCAGCAATAGCAAGAAGGACACAATTTGCATTCTTGAGAATCTGTTCCATGTGAAGAACGGGTGATTAGTAAAAGCACCAACAGTATGATTGAATACCTAAATTAAGGATCCCCTTGGAGAGCTTTGTTTTAGGTCTTTGCTGCAAAGCACCCCTGTTTTAAAAATGTGTACTAGTTTTTTTTTCCCTCTTCCTTTCATCTCTTACTGATTGATTTGAAGCATTCCATTATATAAATCATTAGTGTGTGTTTTCTTAAAATGAGATCACACAAAAAGAGAATACATTAAAAAGTCTGGAACTTTTAGAAGCCAGTCTTGTTGGCAGTGGTCTGGTAAGCTAGGTATCTTGTCCAATGCAACCTGATGGCAGTTTAAATGCAAGCACTCAGAGGGGCAGAACTTCTTAGTGGCTTCTTTCAGAACAAATGTGCTGGCTAAAACTCTATTCGAACACAAGGAGAAGGAAATGCATTTTTGCTTCAAACTAACAGGATGAGTAGCTGGAATGTCTGGGGTAGAGCAGTGGCAAGCACTAGGGGAAAGCTCTTGTTGAAAATGAGGTCCCTCAATGCAGAGTCAAGGTTTCCATTGGCTGAGAAGCAATGTGATGGACAAAAACATATGCCTTCTACAGACGGGGCAGCTAGCCCAGCATTGCCACTCAATAGCATGACGTGGATAGAACCTGCCCTGGGGAAGCCGGTGGGCTAGATGAGGGGGCTCTGGTGGAGAGGAAGCCACCCCCTATGCTAGCATTGTCCACAGTGCTCTTTACTGGAAAGAAAATATAAGAGAATTCAAAGGGATGATTAATTAGTTAATACTTGCCTAATATTCAAACACAGCCATTTTCTAATGCTGTGTGGAAAATTGGGGGCATGTAAAGGAATCTTGTCTTAAAACTAACTCAGGAAAGTAACAAGAATTCCACACTAATCACATAGCAGGTCACACAGCAGCAATTTTCAGAATACCTCCTGCAGACTTGATCATGAGATATAAAATGGCTCTTTGCACTAATGAAGCTGAGTCTCTTAGAAATAGGAGCAAAAGACTACCAGCTAATGCATTTGTGGAAAAGTGCATACCGAGTACACCCAGAGTATGTGAGCAGGAGGAAAGGAATTCCAACTTCAACCAAGTTGTACATTTACTTTACAGTAACTATCTTTGCTTCCCACCCCCACCCCCCCCACCAAGGCTGGAACTTGATCTTAGTATCTGATGCTGGCTTTCATTCATTGGTTGGGGCTCTATGACTTGAGCCACACCCTTAATCGTATCTCTGCTCGAAGAAAAAAAAAATTCACAGGTGAATCATGGTAGGCAGATGGAAGTCAGCTGCTTCACAAGGAACAAATATTCTAAAATTGTTATTTCCCTTTGACATGCCCTTGACCCCAGCAGCCAGAGCTCTGGGGTAAGGAAGATTTCCATAATTAAAAAATAGTGTGTGTGTGTATGTGTGTGTATATATATATATATATATATATATATATATATATATATATATACATACATAAGTATAGACCTTTGGGTACATCAAAGAAAGCAATTCAGATTTTCTTGGGCTACTGGAATACTTTTCTGAATGTTAATTTTAAAACTGTTGTCCAGCTTTTGTCAGAAGCTACTGAAGAGCTATTTTATCTCGAGTTATAAAAGCTGTTTTGTTTAGAGCTGTGATGGTGAGCATTGGGTACATTCACGTCTTCACTATTCATGCGCTCATGACTAGCTCTGCTTCAGTCTTTGGGAGAATAAATTTTTTAAAGGAATTTTGTGCAAGTATCTGTAATTATTGCACACAAAGAGGATGTTCAGCATTATTTCTGAGGCTATGCAGAAACACGCAGCAAGTCTTGCAGGAACAGAGAAACTAACAAATGTGCCTTGCTTATTCTCTCTCCCACAGAATCAAAGGCTGGACGTACAGACGTTTGGCCAGTCTTTTTGTTTTCTCATACACGACCCCAGATCAACACCCGTGGACCCGTAGCCATTCAACAACCAATAAAGTTGCATTTAAAAAGAAAAAGGCTGAGAATCTCCAGGTGCTTGGGGGCGGGGCAGGAAGAGGACTGCCCCATGAACCACTTGCAGAGTCTGGAAGGCTGACAATTCGAATGACACACCAGCTGTTTCTCCACAGACTCTGTGACCTGTAAACACTTCCCACTCTTGGGTAGCAGATCCTGAAAATTAAGGGCCTGGATTCTAATCCTGACTGGCCCCTTATGAGCTGTGACCTCAGGTCAATCACCTGACCCTTCGGCTGTCTCCACTAACAAATGAGGGCGATGATATCTACCTTAAGAATTGTCCTCAGGATCAAATAAGGTATAACCTAGCATTTGCTCAGCCTGGCATGCTCAGGGCACCGTGATGCTCAGTAACTGAAAAATACCCAATTCTGTCGCCATTGCAGCTACGACTCTTCTTGTCTTCATGCCCCATGTGCTATGAATGAAGGCTGAAGCAAATAGAATGTGGGGTATAGCAGAAACAATGACTCTGTCGCTTGTGTTCTAGTGGCCTAGGGGCTGAGGATGGACCAGAAAAGAAAGTATCTCCAGTCTACATCTAACATTGGTGCCACTTCAAAGATTCTCTGTTTAACAGAGTAAGAAAATATCTATGTCTCCCTCACATCAATGGTAGGTATTGCTTCAATAGTCTGGGTTAAACGTGACAAGCAATCTCACCCAGGTTAAACTGGATTGGTTTTTTTTTTTATTAATATGCACAACCATGACACAATTACTCTTTAATCTGGGGTGGGGAATGTTGGGTAAGGTCTGACAAACCATTTGATGGGTAATAAGACAGACATATACTTCTCTCATTGGCTGCCCAAGGGGCCCGGCTGCCTGCATCGATCATTTTATTTGGCCTATAAATGATGTTCTAAATGTCTAAAAGAGAAACAAGGTTCTCCACCCCCTGCATGGTTTACCTCTTTAACACATATCCTTAGTGTTGGTGAGGGAGCATCTATATTTAGAGTGAGTTGAGCTCACACAGATTGTGTGGGCCAATATTTACATGATGCTGGTGCACAAACAGGTAGGATGGCTGCCACCCGGATGTAAAAGGATACTGGGTCCTAAAGAAGGCAGTGGATCCCCTTTCAGGGAAAAACATCTGCCCTTCCCTTCTGTAGCCCCAAAAACCTTAGGAGGAACAGGTAGCATCTCACTGAAAATGCCTCTGTCAGAGTTCACCATAAGCAGGATGAATACACAACTTGTCCCAAAGGGACGCCTTCAAAGCACTATTCTATCCAAAGAGCTTCTAGCCACATGCATCTAGTTAAGTTCATTTGAGTTCCTCTGTCCTTCCGGCCACATTTCAAGTGCCTGGCAGGTGGATGAGGCTGGTGAGTGTACTAATAAGACTGTACAGAAAGAGAGCATCCCACCATGATGTCCGAGAAAGTCATCTGGGACAGCTGTAGACAGAGCAGGAGTAGGAGTGTGCTAGGGCTACCTAATTAGAACTTACATGAGAGAGAGCATGGGGGTGGGCTTTTCAGGTATACTGTGTGGACAAATGATGCGAACTGGAACCACAACTGCCAATCCACGGTAGCAGAAGGCTCCTATTGCCATGTGGAAGGGTGCTGGTATGTGAAGTGTTTGGTATTCAACAGCCAATGCTGCCCAACAGAACTCTGTGCGATGATCCCAGGGTTCTGTCCTGCCCTGTAGTAGCCTGTCCACTGCAGGGGACACTAGTCTCAGTGGCTGTCGTGGCCTAAGGATATGGCATGTTCATTTTGTTCAGGCATTAAAATAGACACCTGTGGTTCATAGCTACCAGGCTGGACGTTATGGCTTTAGGAGACGGACCACACACTGGGGAGTTCGGACTCTTCCTCCCCAGGGTAATCTGGGTCAGGAGTTCTGTAAGGGGCTGGAGGAATCACACAGCGGTGTTAGAATGAAGCAAGACAGGCCGGTGGCCAGGACACCCTACCTCTTTATTTGTGGAGGCTTCCGCGGGGTCGCTGGGGTGAAGGGGTGTGCTCGATGACTCTGCACCCAGGGGCGAGGAGCTGCCGGGAGACGGAGACTGAAACACAGCAACAGCACAGACAACAGTGAGAACTGAAAGGACACAGCATGCTGGGCCGGGGACGAAGGGGGATAAAGCAGAACTCTGCTGAAGTTCACTCCAGGGTGGGGAAAGCCCTTTGGAAAGGAATCGCCAGCTGTCCAGGATGGGCCTGGGGCACTGAAGCTTTACTTTTGAACTTCTGCCATTCCTTTAAAGGAAGTTAAGAGCTGGGGGTCATTTTCTCCCTCAGGCTCACTGCTGAGAGAAAGCAGAGAAAGCCCTGTCAAACTTCAGGGCCTAAATACACAGGCTATTTTTTTTTTTCTTACTAAAGATTAGGATACCAAATTGTCTTGCAAAATCGCCTGCTCAAGATGATTGTTATAAAAAAGTAAAAACTGAAGCAGGTCTTTTTTTTTTTTAATAGTTTCCTTGTTATTATTAAGGTGTTATACAGAGAGGTTACCATTTCACAATTTAGGTAATATGTACATTTCTCTTTTGGTCAATGTCACCCCTTCTTTTGCTTTTCCCTAGTGCAGAATGTCTTTTTTTTTTTTTTCCTTTAGTCAGTTGTGGGGCCCGAGCTCTGAGTTTAGGCGCTGTCTCTCAGCTCTTCAGCTCAAGATTAGTGCCCTACCACTTGAGCCACAGCACCACTTCTGGCTTTTTCTGCTTATGTGGTGCTGAGGAATCGAACCCCGGGCCTCATGCATGCAAGGCAAGCGCTCTACCACTGAGCCACCTTCCCAGCCCAGCAGCATGTCTTTTTAAAGAAGCAGTTGGGCCTGATTTGGATGACTGGAAACCTCTCCACCTGTGCTTTCCTGGCCGGCTCCGAAGTCACATATGTTGCGTGATTTGATCCACAGGCCACTAAAAATTTAGAGAAATGTCAGCATTTCAGCACAAGACACATAACCTTGGGTGATTTGTAGAATGGTTTGAAGATCTTTGTCAAATGATATGTTTCAAAACCAGGCTTGGACACCTCGCTTTGGGTGCAGGGTCCCTGCTGGGTGTGGGGATATCTCAGGTACAGTCGAGCACAGGCTGACCCTGCCGGAAGTGACTGACCCCCGTCAGGCACACCGTTCATATCTGCTAGGTGAATGGCCAAATAAGCCAGCCACTACAGCGCTGGGATCGATACAGGCTCCCTGAATATCCCCTGGATGATACAAGAACATGCCCACATGTTTGAGAACATCTTGGGAGGTATAAAGGGCATCTTCAAGGGAGCCACAGGGAAGGTCAGGAAGGCGGCACTCTCGAGAGCAAGATGCTCTCTGTGAGTGATGACCCACGGCAGGCAGAAAACACACAGGAAATATTCTCTTGGGAACTGTGGGGATGTGAGGGAGGTGGATTCCCCGAACACCACCAGCATTTGCTTGGATCTACCTATGTCTAGCAGTAAAATCCTGGGACAAGGCAAGGGAGAATGTTTCACACAGCAGGGGTGCTGGGGGAAGCGGGCATGTAACAGACAAAAAGGACCCCAGAAAACATTATGTTAATAAAAAAAGGAAACTCCGCCCCCCCAAAAAAAACACCTTTCTCCCCAGTTGTGAATTGTAAGGAATATAGGAGGCACCAAATGAATCAAATGATGGGAAATGCATGATTATTATTCAGACCAAGAAACTGTAGGATTCCAGCCTCTGGCCATATGATTACCTGATTCAAGGCAGGGAGGTGAAGAATAGCCCTTTAAATAGTCATAGGCAGAAACGGAGGCTTTGAAGTTGAGCCAGAGGGCAGACACAGGGAAGCAGAAGACATAAAGAACCCTGACCCCCGGGCCCCTGGCCACCGTAAAGCAGCCACGGCTGCCTTTAAAAAGCAGCACACGGGATTTTTCCCTCAGCACCCAGGAGAGTTGGTGGGTACTTACTGATTTAGCACTGTTTGGCTTACTCAAAATTAATGTAGGAAAGTATGAGAATTTAATGTCTTTACATTTCCCCAGCTTTTTTTCTGTTTCAGATTTAAAGAGCTTCCTTTGATATTTATGGCTCATTTCTTTCCTTCACGTAATTTTCTCTGTCACAAAGATTTTAAGGGTCTAGTCCCTGGGGGAGCTAGTGCAATTGGATTTTGTTTAACTACTTAGTTTCAGGACTATGAAACACCTTCATTAAAAAAGTGTGTCTTGAGGAGTTTTTTTTTTTCCTTCCCAGGCTGGTTTTGAGCCCTAATCCTCAGATCTCATTCTCATGAGCAGCTAATGAAATGGTTATATATAAAAAAGTATAGGGCTGAGAAGGTGGCTCAGTGGTGGAGCGCTTGCCTTGCATGCATGAGGCCCTGGGTTCGATTCCTCAGCACCATATAAACAGAAAAAGTGGGAAATAGTGCTGTGGCTCAAGTGGTAGAGTGCTAGCCTTGACCAAAATCAGCTCAGGGATAGTGCCCAGGTCCTAAGTTCAAGCCCCAGGACACGCAAAAAAAAACAAAAGTATAATACCTCCCAAGTCATTATGACTTTGTTTAAATAATAATATTTTGTTCTAAAAATGTTCATATGGTTAGAATTTGAACCTAGCTAAGCCAAGTTGTTTTTAGAATTTCTCCAGTGGAGAACACACCCAATCTTTTCCTGTCACAGGGCCCAGGACTTGAAAGGCCCCAGAACCAAGTCTGCTGATTGGCTGAAGTAAACATTAATCAACTCCATGGAGTCTTCATAGCCACTATGATTTGACTTTCCAACATGAGGATCCATTTTCAAATGCATAATACGATTACAGGGAAGATGACATTTCTCCCTTGAAAGTGATGGCTGTTGGATAGGTACAGTCGTATCTTAAGTTTCGGGAGAATGAAGTGGTTACACGCTCAAGAACCCCGGGCATGGGGCAGATTGGCATGTGAATTCTGTCTCTACCACTTACAACTCTGACACTGGGCTCAGAGTCCATCCTCTTAGAGCAATGAGGTTCATAGAAAGAGCAACAGTGCCCAGACAGGAACAAAATGCTCAACCATTAGCCGGTCTTCCACAATCCCAACCATTACAAATATTATTTTGTCCCTCTGGGAGAACATTAACAAGGCCAGAACACATTCCTGGAGGTATTTCTTTTCATCTTCATCTGGTTCTCTTTCTCATTAAAATTTCATTCACAGATAAAGTGAAAAAGCAAACAGAAGGCACAAAGCTTTTACCCTAATTCCTAAGTCCCCACCCTCATTATAGCATATTAGGGAGAACAGTTCATGAGTGGCAGAGGTTAGGGGTGGGGAGAGGGAGGAACCTACAACTGTTGTGTGCAACTTTGGGCTTGTCCACTGTCTCCTATACAAGGAAGCATTTTGGGAAAATAGAGTTGAGGATGAGATCATCATGACGATTAATTTACAGAAGACACTTGCATGTACCCGCCCTAGGCCAGTGTCGATCCACAGCACAGCTTGTGAAGTGTAGGATATTCAGTGAAAGACCACAGGCAACTCTAGCCGAGTTGGATGGTTTCCAGTGAATTGGTCCCTATCATCCAAGGGAACTCAGTGACTGAGCTATGTACTAATTTTACCTATGTGGAACACTTCACAAAACCTGAGAACAAGGTGTATGGCTTTTTCTTTTTCGTAAGACTAACATGGATGTGTTTGTGTACTTTTCTGCCAGTCTTTTTGCTGCGTGCCTGCCTACTTATTCTCATTTTGAATAGCTTAAAAAAAAACCCTGTGAGTACAGCATCCTCAATTTGGAAACCCTCTATCCTTCCTCTTTGTTTATGGAATACATTCTAGACTGTGGATTTCGGCACTTGAGACGCTCCAAGGTTTGGCCTTAATTTCCTTACTGGCTTCTGCTCCCTTTCTTGTTCTTAACCTTCTATCACCAAAGCCAGACTTCACTACCTGCTCCTCCCAGCCTACCCTTGGCATGTTTCTGCTTAGTGCCTTTGTTTCCACTCCTGTACATCCACAAGCTTCCAAAGATTCATTCCAATGATCACCTCTTTCACGCAATCTCCCTAATTCTTAAGTGACAGAATACCCCCTTCCAGAAAGGACTATTTGCCTGTATTCTTATTTGTGCCATTCACAAAGCTCATCTCACTCTCCCTATCTTTTATAAAAACACAGCATTATAGGACAATTGTACTTTCAGTACAATGCTTTAATAAGCACCACAAAGGCAGGATGTATAATCAGTTTACAAGTTTCCTCTCTTGAGTGCCTAATACAGAGCTCCTCATAAAATATCCAACAGCTCAATACAGGTACTGAATGGGAAGATGCGTAGACGCTTATCTTGTAACAAAGAGAAAGGAAATGAAGACCAGGATGAAATGAAATGAAAACCCACTCTGCTCAGAGTGGGCTCTGGGCGCACAGCACTGAACTGACATGTTCTCATGGTTTCTGGAACCACATGTTTCCACAGGCTCTCTTGCTTGGGCTCTTGGCCATCATCAGCCTCTCCCCCACATGACTTGTGTACCCCCACTTCCTGAGGGAAGTGTGGCAGACACAAGAGTGGGAACAAGTGTTCACAAAGGGCATTTGTGCCGCCTGAACTATACAACTCACGGGTGGAGAAGGGAGGAAGAGTATGGGAGAGAATGAAGGACCATATGACACTGTAGGAAAGGAAACGTACCGAGTCATGCAAATGTAACTGCTCTGTACATCACCTCTATAAGAACAAAAGTAAATTAAAAATAAAAAAGCTGGCCAGATGCCGGTGGCTCATGTCTCTAATCCTAGCTACTTAGGAGGTTGAGATCTGAGGACTGCAGTTCAAAGCCAGCCCGGGCAGGAAAGTCCGTGAGACTCTTATCTCTAATTAACCACCAGGAAACTGGAAGTGGCAATGTGGCTTAAATGGTAGAGCTGAAGAGCTGAGGGACAGTGCCCAGGACCTGAGTTTAAGCCCATGACTGTCAAACAACAACAACAACAACAAGGTAGTGTCTGGGAATGTGGCTTACTGGTAGAGTGCTTGCCTAGCATACATGAAGCCCTGGGTTAGATTCCTTAGTACCACATAAAGAGAAAAA